GACCAGTGGCAGAGGTTTTGTAATCAGGATCTTCAAAATCAATGCTTTTAAGATTTGCGCTCATTCCGGTACCCTTACAGAATCAGAACCTGTCAACTGTGGCCACTGAGATGCAGATTAGCTCACTCACGGAGAAAATAGATTGGGGACAGCAAACAAGAAGCTACAGATCTAAGTAAGAGAAGCGCACATAGACGTGTGCCTGTCAGGGTATGGGTAGAAGCTGCACAGAGGCCTGTTTTCCTGTCACCCCAAGACTAGACAGAACACCGAACCTCACTTGGGCTACACACTCTCCAGCAAGCCGACTTCATCTGGTCTCAGTGTGTATGAGAAGGCCAGGAAGCTCCTCTCCATCACCCGCTAAGGGCTCTATCAACGAGGTTGCCATCAAATCCCACACTCAAATCTATCTACCCAAGGCACACCTAAAAATAGATGCGTCCTTACAAACCTCCCCTCACCAGACAGATGCTGCTTACGTGAAGGTGAGGAAGCTGGGCTATTCTGGCTCCTCCTGGCCAAAGGACAAACAGAGAATTAGCCAAATAGGTTGGAAAGCAGGCGGACATGCTGGTTACAGGAAAACACGTTAGCTGGGGACCCTTGGGCAAGGGAGGAGTTGGCCTGTTCTCCTGCGGTCCCCATGCACTCCCCAGACATTTGATCCCATTATACAAAGCTGCAGGCTTTTCATCTCTAAAATTAGCCGACAGAGGTAAATACAGTATTCCTAACTGACAGTATTTATCTCCTAAATGGTTTTGGCAAAGCGGATTGCTCTCTGGGCAAGGAACACAATCCAATGTTATTGTCATTCAAGTGGAGAGGAAAGGGCCACTAGTGCCTCCCTGGGTTCCACAGTGTTGAGGAGCCCTGGTCCCCTTCACCCAGAGGAGACTTTCACTCCTCTCATTTCACCTGGCTTCTAGCATGGCATATTAAAGATGCATATTTTATATCAGGAGAGTGGATCGAGTAGCTTGTTGGTGAGGGGAGCTGTATCCTCAGGACCGATTAAGACTCTTTGTAGAAATTTAAATACCTCTGTCAGCCAAACAAAATCACATCAGGAATCATAGAATTTCATTGCTAGAAAGAGAAATGAGATTAAACCACCCACGCTCCTTTCCTAGAGCCCTCGATAAAACAGAAGCGCATCTCAACAGCCTCTCACTTCCGGTCTGCAGGGGCCTCGCAAGAACTCCAAATGAATTTATATGAGAGAAGGCTTTTCCGTCAGCACAAGCTGTATGTAACTATAAGTAAATGGTGCATATTGGAATGCACTGGTACTTAAAAATATAAAATAAATTTAAAAAACACAACAGAAAAAAATGCAGGAGCAGAGTCGACAGCAAGTTCAACTCTACTGAGCTTCAGCCCCTTAAAAATCTGTTGTCCTTTATTAATATTTAGTAGAAATGTGTAATTGCAGATGTGTGCTGCTTGGGGTTTATGTCGGGAGGCGGGCAAGGAAGACAGGTTTATTACAGCCATGAAATATTAAACAAGCGTGGAAGAACAGTAGTTAGATGCCCTCCACTAGCCAGGGAGTGTGCAGCCTGAGCACTGGCTGCACAAAAGGGGCCCTTATCCATTTACGGTACCCTTGATTAGCACCTGAGGGGCCTGGGGTTACATCTGCTGAAGGCGCAGAAGTCACATGAAGGCTGCAAGAGAAAGGCAAGGCAGCGCCGGCTCACATTCCCAGGAAGAGTCCAGATGAGACTTCAAAATTTCCTCTCTAGCGCAGGAATGATGGACACATGATTCCATCAGCCATGGCAAACTGGCTTCCTCAAGCCCACCCTGTATCCAACAAGATCTAGCGTTCCATCCCTGCCCTAACTATACTTTCTCAGCCTTGCCTGTGTTCCTACAAGAACACAGAGGAGCATGGAGTTCCAAAACGTCTCCCAAGTCTCTGCAAAAACACAGGACTTGAAAGTTGTGGGGCGGGAGGCAAGGATTAGGTGTGCAGTGCAGACAGAGGCAGCTCCGGCCTCCCTGTGTATGAAAGGCCCTCTGGCCACTGGGTTTAATACACAGGGCTACCAGCAGAAGGACAGAAGTTTGCTGACATCATGGAAAATTCCTGTCCTGAAAACCATGTAGCACAAAGGAAGCCAGAAAACACATTTCCCCAAGTCAGTGCCCACTGCGCATCTTCTACCATCATTTTCCCTTCCTTTCTGTCTTAAAATTCCCCAAATCTACACTAAGCATATTATTACACATAGGTAGAGGTCCAGCCAACTATCTTAAAGCCATCTTATCTTTGCTGACATGAAATGTCTGAACCACCTCAAATGCCCTTCCCTTCACTCCAACTTTGGACAGGAAGCCTCATGGGTAGAAGTGGAGTTTTCTTATGAGAAAGTATTTGTCCAGTTGGTTGAGAAGTTAGGGCCGTGTCATCTAGAGAAGCTCACTCTTCTTATCGCCATATGACCTTCTGGCCTAGACCTTTTAGAAACTGCAATGGGCCAGTCAAGTTTCTTCCTCTCCAAGGGACCATCTACAGCCTGAAGAACAAGCGAGAGGTTCCCCTGTGGCTCTGACTTATATCTATCTCCTTCCAGCGCATACCTTTGTAAAACACTGACTAGTATGCTGTCATCTGAGCAGAGAATTTCAGAAATGGAGTTAATATTTAATCACATTAGTACTGGCATGTTTTCCAGAGAGACAAAATATCATCACAAAAATGGCCTGAGAGAATGGTGAGGGAAAACATTTTCTGGGCTGAAGGTTCAAGGCCCATCATCCTCCCTGGATATCCCCACACCAGCAAATGGGGCTGGGCAACTTTTAAGAAACAGACCATTTTCTTTTACTTTTTTCTTTTTTCTGACTTATTTCAAAGTGGCTCTTTTCAGCCGGGGCTCTCAGAAGCTGACAGAGAGTCATGTGCATTTATTTGCACAGCCTATACAAATGGAACTGTGGGGTGTTATCATAATGAAACCTTTAATCACCCTTATTTACTACCATTAAGGAAGCCAAAGTCGGGGAGTCCCTATTAAACCCGAGCTTGCAGCCATGCAGCAGACTATCCTTCTATATCAGAGTAGAGAACAAAGGGGGTCAAGTGGGTACTCCCCACCAGGCTTAGGAGACAGACAGTCCTTTGGAAGTGTGTCTCCTCACAGACAGGAGAATGTCCTCCAGTTTACAGAGGCAATCAACCCAGAAGCGACTGGTACATGCTTCCATGTGTGTATGGTACCGGGACACTGAAACAAGCTAAAAAAGGAAGGAAGGAAGGAAGGAAGGAAGGAAGGAAGGAAGGAAGGAAAATATTCTGTAAAGTCATGTCAGCAGCACTTGAAGCCTGCACCTCTCCACTGAGAATGAGGAGGAAAGATACAAAAAACAAAACAAAACAAAAAACAAAAACCCTCCTTAGAGCCCCAATACTTCCCCACCTAAAGGGTCCTTCTAACAACTAGAAGGAGAAATACTAACGGGTTTTCTTTATTAATTCTCTAATTTTTAAAAACTTTTCTTACCCCATTTTGGCCATTATGTTTTTAATTACTTGTGACGCGGGGTGGGGGGGCACAGACTGGACCAGGAGAAGTGACAGCATTGAGTACTGAGCTAACTGACCATCGACTGGGCTAGATCGAGATGTTACATCCAAGAAAATAAGGGGCGGCAGGAAACTGTGTCTGAGTCAGGAGAGCTGAGGGTCCCAAACTAACCAATTTCTGGCCTTGCCTGGGAGTAGTCTATAGAATGCTGCTGCCGGGCTAGGTGTCTGCCGTGCATGCTAAACACCCGGCTTCAAATGAGAGCGCGGGCCTGGGCATCCCAGGCTGGGCAGTAACAGGAACAAAGAGAAAAGCCATCAGACACACTCGTGAACCAGAAAGCTAAGGGAGACTACCCAGAGTTCGAACACCTCAGCTCCTGCGTCCTTCTCCCTAAAGGGGCCTGTCATAGTGTCTTAAAACTTACCCTCCCCAGATTCATACTTAAAACCCAGTGGGAGGGTTCAGCAGAGACCAGAACGCTGAAGAGGAGCGATCAAGGGGACGGTTTTTTAAAAGACGGGCTTAAATTGTCAGCCATGCGCCATGGTAATATTCTGTCCAGCAAAGCCCAATGAGGAAACTCAGATTCAGAAGCAGAGTAGGGAAGCAGGCAAAACGATGCTGCCAGATTTAAAAAGCTGCTAGCTATGTTTCTGCAAAGAAAAACAAAGCCCCATTCATATAAAATGCAAACTTATTGCAGCCTACTCATCTTTAGATGAGACTTTTTACTGGCCCTGTCCCTCCCACCTTAAAGGCCTCTGGGCCTGGTGGGGAAGGGGCATTCAGTGTGCAAATGAGACCTGGGACTGGACATCTGTCACCAACGCCAAGTGAGATCTAGACAAGCGAAGGTCCTTTGTGTGTTAGGAATAGTCATACCCCAAACACACATGATGTCCTGAAGGAGCGGTGCACTTGCTGCCAGTGGAACCCAGTCCCAGTCCGTGGCTGCCCAGTGTCAAGCAGATAAACACCTGGGATTGGCGGCTGCCTAGAACCCTGGCTGAGAGCTATTCTCTAAAAACAAATGACCAATGAGGCCTGGCCTCTGAGTGACGCTGCCCACACCAGGGCGGGGACTTTGCAAAAGTCCTAAACCAACTCCTGCTGAATGCTAAGGAGGAAAGGGTGGGGGGCCATGTAGCTTTCCAGCTGTCCTGGGGGGAGGGTAGAACACCTAAGCAGTGGGCTGAGTGCTGAAGGCAGCAAGAGTCTTAGTGTGAAATGACGAGGTCAGCTTGTCCAAGACCTGAACCCTGAAAACTAAAACTGGGAGGTGGAAGGCGTAACTACGGATGATCCTCCAAAGGGGAATATAAATTCTTGCTACCAGGAAAACCAAAATCTACCTGAGAGCCCAGCAAGGTCCAGCCACAGGTTGCCTGGGTCTGTGGAGATGAAGGCCAGCCCACACTAGGGCTGGGATCAGAAAACAAGCAAGGCGGGTACATATACCTTCTTTGTTGTTGGGGTTCTGGGGCTTGGCCTTCTCCCAGGGTGCCAGCGTCTTGTCTTCATCTCCACCATCCACCAGGGCCTTGTCAGGCGGCATGTACCAGGTGGTGCTGTGCTCTGCCATCAGAGAGTCTAGGTCGATGGTGCTCATGGCACTCTTGACGGCCTCAGAGCAGCAGCTGCCCAGTTCGCTGTCACCGTTCTGTGCTCCTGAGGCCCCTACAGCACACTCAGCTTTTTTGCCACCCCTGAGCCCCAGGGGCTGGTCCTCCGAGATGCTGAACTGCTGTCTCTGCAGCTGGATCTGGGCCTGGAGAATCTCCAGGGGATGGATCTCGTCGGGCGGCGGTGCACTGCTGCTGCTGCTGCTGCTAGTTGGGGTCCTGACCTGCTCCAGACCTGGAGTGCCAGGATGGCCGGTGCCCACGCCCCCACCATAGCTGTCAGGGGTCGAGGTAGAGGTAGACAGGATACTCAGGCCCAGCGCGGGAGCCTTCGGTGCATGTTCCCCAGTACCCACCCCTCGAAGAGGAAGTTTGGGTGAGCTGGTCACCAGGGGGCTTCGGCTGGCTTTGGCCAGGACTGTGGTGTTGTCAGAACTGGAGGACACTTCGTCCTCGTTCGCATAACTTGTGCTCACCTCATCAGAGGCGAACTCACCCACGTGCGGGGAATTACCATCCGATTTGGCTGTGCTGTCCAGGGACACCATGAGGTCCGGCTGGTCCGCAAGGAGCAACTCGGCTCCCTTTCCCCACGACGGTGACGTGAGGGCCTTCTCGTGGGGCGTGGGCCCGCGGGCCTCGTTCAAAGAGCTTGCCGCAGCCGCTGAGCTAGGAGCCTGCTGTTGCCCGGGGCTCACCCCTGGTGCTCCTCCACTGTCAGGAGCTGCAGAGTACTTGTCAAAGAAGGTCCCGGGGCTCACGTGACCACTGTCCCTTTTTCTGCGTCCCCTTCCCCGGCCACCGCCCCCAGGTCCAGGCTTGCCATCGTTCCCCGATGTTGATTCCAGGGTATAGTTGGGGGAGAGATTGGTGCCATCACCCTGGATGGGTGGGTTTGGCGGTCCTGAGGATTTGGAACCGCCACTACCGGTCCCGGAAGGGCCTCCGGGTCCAGGGGCCCCAGTAGTCCCTCCAGGGAAGTAATCCGAGCCCGGGTTGCCGGCCGCAGCCGCGCTGTCGGGCTCGTTCTGGCTCAGTTTCCTTTTCCCTTCGGGTGGGTTCTTCTTGTTGAAAGTAACGTTGAGATTGGGAGCACCCAGGCTGGCGATCATGTTCTGGCAAGCAGTGGAGAGCGCAGCTAGGCAGCTCTGGCCGAACAGGTTGTCCTTGGAGCTGGGTTTGTTGAAGGACCCCAACGACAGCGCGCCCAGTTTACTGGCCGAGTTGCGCTGGCTGGGCTGGAAATCCGGCTGCGGCGGATAAGGTCCCCCGCCAGAGCCCGAGCTATTGCTACCGGCGCCCGCACTCGGGGGCGAGTTCACGCCTGGAGCGCTGTGCGGGGTGGCCTGCCGGCTCCCTGAGCCAAATGGAAAGCCGGGCTGGCCCCCGAGAGCTGGCGCAGGAAAATCTGGAGGCGGGGGCCGCCGCTCAGACGGAGCATTGGGCAGTCCCACACCAGCCCCAGGCGACTGCAACTGGCCTAAACTAGCCAAGCTGCCCCCAAACTGCAGCCCCGGCGAAGCCAGAGCGGGCACGTGGCCTTCCCCCGGCATCCTCAGAGGCTCCTGCAGAGAGCCTCGAAATAGCACCCCTGAACCACCCGGGGCAGGGGGAGGCGCTAGGCCAGGGTCGTGCGGGCCGCAGTCTGCCGGCAACCCCGCACCGCCCATCCTCCGGGGCAGCAGGTCTCCCGGCGGGTGTGGACCGGGAAACCATGCACTCTCTTGTGCCAGGTGGGACGCCTGCTGCTCGAAGCCGCCCAGACGCCCCGCACTCGTGCTGCTGCCTTCTCGTTCAAAGTTCGTCTGAGCCAAGCCGCTCATCGAACCTCCGTGGACCAGGCTACCTGGGCCTACGTCCCCAGGATGACCTAGCTGGGCCAGGTTGGGCTGTCGCAACCGTTGCTGCTGGTTCCGAGACGCCATCTGTTTAATTATGAGGGCCGCATTCTGGCGTTGTTGTTGTTGTTGTTGCTGCTGCTGCTGTTGCTGCTGCTGCTGTTGCTGCTGCTGATGCTGCTGCTGTTGTTGCTGCTGCTGCTGCTGCTGCAGAGACTGGTGTTCCGGACCCGGGTGTTGCAAGGGCGGTCCCGAGGTGAAGCTGTCCGGCACAGGCGGTGTGAACTCGCCTGGGAGGCCTGGGTAGGCAGAGGGAGAAAGTTGGTTGTCCAGGGCGCCGTTATGCATGCTACCATTCCACGAGGTGCAACGGTCCACGCCTGCGCTGCCCGGGAAGTCAAAGCGAGGCCTCTTGGCCACGTTCATGTAGGGGGGCGCATCGAAATGCTGCAGCCTCTGGTTGGGCGCCTGCTGAGGAGGGGGATGCTGCATGCTGAAAACAGGCTCAGAATATGGGTGCATGCTCCGGTTCTCTAGCCGGTGGATGGGGTACTCAAACTGAGCGTGCTGGCTGGGCAGCATGGGGCCCCCGTCCTGCAGGCCGCCGCTGGGTGTGCCAGCCTCGCCCTGCTGGGGCCGCGGGAGAGCAGGAGGGCAAGAATTCTGTCGGACCAGAAGCCCGGGTGGTGGCGGCTGCTGCTGGGGGGGCTGCTGCTGCGAGGATGGTGGGGCCTGCTGGGGAGGCTGCATTAATGGGTGCCGGGAGCCCACTGCAGGCTCCAGACTCACAGGCATCTTTCGGGCCCCGCCAAACCTCTCGAAGAACACTCCGTGCTGAGGTTGCTGCTGTTGTGGTGGTGGCTGCGGTGGCTGGCCGTGCATTTTGGACAAACCTACCAAGCCTGCGGCTCTGGGCATGGCCGAAGCACCCGGGAAAGCGCCCCCGGGAACCTGTCGACCCGCCGCGTAATGTGGCAGCTGTCCTTCGGAGTCGGAGGGCGAAAACATGTCAAAATGTCCTGAGGGCGGCTCGCCCGGGTAATTGTATTCCAGCGAATCTACAGCTCCTTGGTTCGTCACCCTCCGGGGCTCCAGACTGTGAGAATCCGAGCCGCTGGAGGCCGGCAGGCCGTGGAAAGAAGCAGCCCGGTTAGGGCTCTGGTCCAGCGGCAGGCACGGGGCAGGCACGGCGTGGCCCGAAGTGCCCGAACTGTGGAAATCCGGGAGGTTTCCTGGCCGCTGCGGGCCGAAGCCCTCCGGCCCCTGGCTCTCCGCCATGTGCTCATAACTCTCTGCGAAAGGCGGCTGGCTGCCCAGGCCGCTCGCTGCACCTCCGTAGCCAAGAAGCCGGCCCCCGTGCAGACACGAGGCACCTGGGTCCGGACCACCGAAGTTGCCCCCGAAGTGGGGGTGATGCTGGTGGGGGTGGTGGCCTCCGGGGTGGCTATGGTGAGGCTGCTGACCACCGAAGAAGCCGTGCACAGGCTGCGCCTGCAGCCCCCCTGCGTGCAGCTCTGAGTGGCCGCGCGCGTGAAAGCCGTAGGGCTCCATGTTCAACCCCAAGATAGGGGGTTCACCCAGAGCGCTTATGGCAGGGTCCACAGGGCCAGGAGGGGGCCCGGTGTGGAAAGAAGGAGCCTTAAAGTGGGCGTTCATACTCAGTCCGGCTTCGTTAAAGTTCCCCTCGCCCTGGCCAGCGTGCCGGCTGTTGATCTGGGGCTCGAACTGGTCCAGCCCAAACATACTTGGCTGGGGGCGGGGGGGGGATCAATAGGGCATGACAGCCTGCTCCGCGGCGCGCCTCGGGCCAGCTACTCGCTTCAGGCCGGCTCCGGCGCTCCCGGACGTTCTCACCCGGGCGAGGCGCAGCGCTCACCGCCACCCCGCCGGGCGCGCGGGCGCTGGCTGGGAGCTCTCCGCTGCTCTCCGGAACCTCGAAATCTACCCAAGCGGGCCTCTCACATCTTGCGAGGCCGGGGTGCCTCCTGGAGCCTTGTCGGGGGGCCCATGCCCCGGGCGGATGGCACGAGTGGGTATGCGGAGAGGAGACCTGGCGGCCGACCAGCGAAGACAAAAAGTTAAGTGGGGTGGGGGGAGGAAAATAGGCGGGAGAGCGAAATGATCACCTTTTGGAGTCCGCTGCGCGGCGGCTGGGGCCGTTGGGGAGCCCCTTGGTCCCTCCCCTGCCCCGAGCCCCCGAGCCCGGGTCGCACGGGTTCCCGCACCTCCAGGCGATCGGCGACGAATGTTTCAGCGGCTCGGAAGACAGGCGGCTCCACTCCTCATCGCCGGTGCTGGCCCCGCGGCAGGAGATGCGGGCGCCGGAGCGGGATCGTAGGCTGCGGGAAACGCGCGGCTCCGCGGCTCGGGCTCGTCCGCCAGTCGCCGCGCGAGTTCGCGGGCGTCTGTGACCGCGCGCGGGCGGGAAGGCGTGGGGTCGGTGGTTCCGAGGCTGCGGTTCCCGCCTCCGCGCTCCGCGGGTCCCTTCGGACCCAGGAAGGGGCCGCGCGTGAGCGAGCTGGGCGCGCGGGACGGGAGGGGCGTTGCGAGGTCCGGGCTCCCGCTCAGCGTCTGCCTCTAGCAGGCGCCCGGAGAAGCAGCAACAAGTTTTGCGTTTCAGCAATCCATTCCAGCCATTACCGCTGCACCAATCAGCGCCGCCCGAGCGGGCCCGGGGCGGGGCTCGCTCTTAAGGTGGTCCCCGGTCCGGGCTGCGCAGGCCTGGCCACCGATCCGCGCTACTCCGAGTCTAGGCTACGGCGATGGGGGTGCGCCCTGGGTGCCCCCGGCTGGGGAGGGCGCGAGCAGAGGACTACGGCGGGAGCCGGGCTTTGTCCGCCCCTTCCCATTCACACTGTTTCCAACTCCCCACCCCCAACTGGAGCCAGCGCGACCTGCCGGGTGGGCAGGGGCGGGGAGGTGGGCGGTGAACTGTGCGGGGCGCACAGACAATGGGGTCGCCTGGCACAGCCCCGGGACTCGCCAGGGAAAGTCGCTAAGTGTCGCCTGAGCTGCAGCCCGGTGCGGTGCCCCCAAGGAGCCGGCCCTGGGAAGTTTACGGTGTGATCGCCGAGGGCAAACACAAAGTGAGGTAGTCTCCCGGAGCCAGGACTGGCTTGCTGCTTCCCGAGTCGCCCACCGTCCGCGGCTTCCGGTTTTCTGCCTCTGGCTCCACAGAGAAAAAGCCACGCACACTCGGCCGCTTTCTGGGGACACTTTGGGTGAGCCCGGCGCGGAAGCAGCGAGGCGAGAAAATGCGGAACCCCGAGAGGAGCGACGCGCAAAGCGCACACAGTGGGGCTCCGACACCTTGCGGCGGCCACAGGCGCGCAGGCCCAGACCCTGGAAGGCGCGAAGTTGGACTCCTTAAAAGATCAATTAAACTGAAGAGGTCAAGGAACGGAATTGGATTGTGATACTAAAATCAATTGGAGTAATTTAATATCTGCCCTGTTTCCTATGAAATATTTATCCCAATAATCTTAGTTAAAATGTTTAAATCTTCCCGATCCTCACGGAGGCTGAAATCTGCCTTGCAATTAAAAGTTGGAGGTGAGGGGAGCTAGAGGTGTTGATTATGTGGACGCGCGCAAACCACACACACACCCGCGCGCCAGCGCTCGTGTGCGTGTTTTCCTCTCCAAGTGTAAGTAGGGGAGGAGGGACAGAAAGGCTTTTAATTTCCCATGCCATGAAATAAAGCGAGACAATTTTGCTGGCAGGCCAGGATTCTTAAAAGAGAAGGGGGGCAAAACTTTCGTTGAAGTGCCCTGATATCGCTATTAAATCTAAATAAAATTAAGCATGGTGTATAAAAATGCCTTTTCCCCCCACAAAAGAAAGTGTTTATCGCCCAAGTCTGTCTAGCGTTTGCTAAATTACGCATGAAATCTGAAATGAAATAAACGTTATAATAAAACCAACCCTTTTTATTTAAAAACCTCAGATTAAGCACTCCACTGTCGCGGGCATGAGTTAAAAGTTACCGTGTCATTCGCGGCGAATTCATCACTCCCCGGAGCTTCTAGTTGGAAAATGGCTCGATTGGGGGGGAGGGGGCGGCAGGAATCCCCAAGGACTTCTGAAGCAATCACCCCCTACACACACACACACACACACACACACACACACTCACCCCGCCCCCGCTGCTTCACCCCGCCAAACACACTCTCACCCCGCCCCCGCTGCTTCACCCCATATACACTCCCCCACCCCCACACACACTCGAAATAATGCTCGGGAAGCTGCAACAAGCTCAGGCCTTTCCTGCAGTCTACAGATTTTTTTTCCTTCTGAAATTAAAAATGAAAATTACCCCCACCAAAAACGGGGCCCATAAATAAGCATTGGGAAGAAGTATTTGTGCAGGGTGGTGGAGTTTTAAAAGGATTTTTCTGCAGGATCAGGTTGTTGGTCTGTGATTAAATATTGATTTTGTGTAATTAGTTTTCATGCGAACTATCCTCTTGCTGATAGCTTAGAGGTTTCAGAACTAGAAAAGAAATGGAACTGGACATGGAAATTATTACTTAGCAAAGTGACAGGGAAGGAGAGCGGGGAGACAGGCCTTGGCTATGCAGGCACAAAGGAAAAAGGACCGGTTAGACACCTCCGAGGGAGCCTTCAGCCCACAGCCAGGGGCCACTGGTCCTCTTGGGCAGGAAGGGGGAGAGCCCAGGGTAGATCTCAGGAGGATGCCCCAGGTAGCTGTGACACATGACCTTGTGCCCATCTTGAGGATGGTAGCCTTCTCAGGAGGCAGGAATGGAATACCTTGTCCATCATGTCAGGAGGGGACAGGATGTTTTGGGAACTTTGTGGAGTACTAGGGAGGGATGGCAGGAGCTGGGAAGGAGTTCACGCAGGTGAGGGGCACTGGTCTGAGGTGTTGGGTGGGGGTCCCCGCATCTGACTGAATTTCCTGTTTGCACTGAAGGGAGGAAGTCTAGGCATTTTTTCCAAGCTCTTTCCCAGAGTCAACATTTTGGGGTGTTTGGGTGTCTGAAGAGAGAATTGAGTTTGGAGGAGGAGGACTCCTTTCTTAACACTGTAAATGGACTATACTTGCATTTGTGCTTGCCCTGGGAGGCTAGCTAGCTGCCATCTGTGTGCTTCTGTATATGGCAGGTGCATGTACCTTTGGACGTCACTGTGCAGTGTGTGTGTGTGTGTGTGTGTGTGTGTATGCACGCATGCGTGTGCACGAACACACACACACTCTCACGGGTATTGTCTGCTTTCAACCACCACTGCCTATCTCTCTGGGTGCGCAGCTATTTATCTCTGTGCAGTTGCATTTACCCCTTGAACGCCCTCACCCCTGCCCTATGTATCTTTTGTACTGCTCTGTGAGGACATGCATGTCTGCCTGGGCCCTCTGTGCACCAGTGTTTGCACCTCCATGGTGTGGGCACCCCTGTATGGGCCTGTGTGTGCTCACACCTCTGGAGTTGGCTCCTAAGTTTCTTTCAAACAGGCACATTGCCCCCTAGTGCTCAAACAAACTCAGAGTCCCTCCTGGCACCAAGCCAGAAGCTGCAGAGCCTTGGGCATCCATCCAGGCCTCCTCTTTCCTCTCCTCCTTCCTGCACACCACCACCACCACCACCACTACTAAACATGTTGGCACCAGCAAAGGAAGGAAGGGACACAGATAGGCTGGGGCCCTGGGGCTGCTGAGGGCGCTCTGAGCTGGGGACGTGTGAGGAGCTGCCTGGAATGCCCCGCAGCTGCTCAGAACAGCCTCCAGCTGGGGCTGAAGAGTGACATCCACATACAACAAAATGAACACACTCAAAACCCATGACCTTGTGAGCAGGAGACACAGCGCTCACATTTGCCCATCAGCCCCACACAAACATACAAAGGGGACCCATGAGCACACAGACACATAGTGGACAGACATGTCAGACCCTGGTGACATGTCAGGACGGTATCCTCTCTGCTGCCTGAGTACAAGGGTCCTGTTTGTTTTCGTGGCAACCCTTCAAGGTCCAGACCTGACCCATTTGACAGATGCCTCCCTTGGTCAAGGAATTTGCAGAGAACAAACAAGAGCAGGTCCTAAATTCCTCAGACAGCCTGGGCTGTGCCAGATCTGCGCTACCACGGGCATAGCTGCCTATGGCTGCCCTGGGAGGGAGCCACAGTAGCAGGGCTCTTCCCCAACAAATGCTCTTTGCCTTTCCCTGTGGTGATATTTTGTTTGTGCTCTAACAAATGATGCTTGCCTGAAGATCAGAGTGTGGAGTTAGCCACGAGATAGCCATAGAGGCCAGGCAGTGGTGGCACACATCTTTAATCCCAGTACTTGGGAGTCACATGCCTTTAATTCTAACACTAGGGAGGTGGAGACAGGAAGGGATATGGCTGGGCAGAGAGAGGAGTATAAGCTGGGAGGAGATGAGTTCAAGGTATTCCGTCTGAGGACTTGTAGAGACAGGAAACCCCATTCTGTCTGAGGATTTCGTAGAGGCAAGAACTAATGACTGGCTGCTCTGCTTCTCTGATCTTTCAACGTTCACCCCCTAATATCTGACTCTAGGTTTTTATTACTAAGACAAACTAGAAACTGGGCAACATTCCCCCAAATCTCCCATACACTCTGGAGCCTGGACACTTAGCAGAGTCCTCTGAAAAGCCTAGAGGAGCCCACTTCTCCAACACCTTCATGTTACCTTGGGCAAAATACTACCTTCTCTGAGCTTCTGTTCTCATTGTTGGAAAGGGACATCAAAGCCAGTTTGTGTAGAACGTAAGGATGGTTGAGCATGTTTGCAGAACCAACAGATTTCACATGGAGCCTGCGATTCAGTGTTTGCTCCTCTCCGTCACCAGTCCTTGCATAGGAATGCAAGAAGGCAGGAAGAGGGGCTGGAGAGATGGCTCAGTGGTTGAGAGCACTGACTACTCTTCCAGAGGACCCGGGTTCAGTTCCCAGCACCCACATGGTAGCTCACAACTGTCTGAAGATCCAGTTCCAGGGGATCGTCCAGTTCCAGGGGATCTGACACCTTCACACCAGTGTACATAAAATAAAGTAAATAAACAATAAGAAAAAAAAGGTAAAATAAATCTTTACCAAAAAAAAAAAAAAAGAAGGCAGGAAGACACTCAAGCTTGCTCAGTAGCCCAGTCATCATGATGGATGCCTTACCCTCCTCCATGCTAATGCCCATGGAGCAGTCTAGATGGTACCCTAGACAGAAACCTCCAGGAAGACATAGTGCAGCCAGGAGAGAAGACAGAGGAGTTGACTAGTGGGGCCGAAGGGATGAGACCTTCCTGCAGCCACAGGCTGCTGGTTGCTAAGCGACAGCAATTCCCACCTCTCAACACATGCTTGATATCTTTTGAGTATGTCTCTTCTTCTAGCTGTCCACTGAATGGCTACTGTATGCCATCTGATAACTCAGAAAAAAGAAGTTGAAAACAGCCTCTACTGTCAAATCAGATCAAAAGAGTCCTATTATTTGGCATGAGAAGGATTCCATCAATAAGGGCTTAAAATAGCTGTGAATGGAGGGGAAAGAAATAGAAAAGGGTTCACAAAGGTAGGTTTTGAAGGTAG